TACGGAATACAATATGAAACAATGGTTAAAGAAACATTTTAATCTTTATTCAATGTTAAAGTTTTACCAGCTAGTTACGAGCAATATAATTTTTTAGCTGGTTCTCCAGATGGATTGGTGGGAGAAAATAAAATTATTGAAATAAAATGCCCACATATTAGAAAAGATATGACAGCACAACAAGGAGTTGTGGCTAAAAATCAAATTTTTAAAAATAAAAAATAATGATGATTTGCAGTTGGACAAAAACCATAATTATTATTACCAGGTTCAGGGACAATTAAGAGTAGCCAATAAATGCTCGTGTTATTTTGTAGTTAGGACTCCAAAAGGTAATAAACAATAATATATTATAGCCAAATGCTCTTTTTTTAATTCACAGTTTTAATATGGTTTTTATTTTTAGATATGTTTGTAGTAATAATAATGCGTGATGACGACTTCTGGAAGGATAAAATGGAAACATAATTGGTCGAGTTTTATAATTGTTATTTATTACAAGAAATTGTAAATCCTACAATTTTAAAATAAATGGAAATTTTTTAAACTATTATTATTGTAATTATTAGTCGTGAATTATTATCATATACTAGTTTATATTTTATTTAGATACATTTTTACGATAATAATAATATATACAAATATATAATGGACGGCTGTTATAATTTGTAACTGATAAACGGTTATTATTTTTATTATTATAATAAAATGTAAATAATTAAATCATAGAAATTTGTTTTACGTATTTATTACTTCGTGTAAAACAAAATAATATAGGGAATAACAAATGAACAAAAGAAATTGGTTTTCAAGAGAAGTTTTCAAGGACTGACCAACGTATGTGATATGGTGCGCGAGTGACGACTGATGGTACCGGGATCTGATACAGTCGTAAAGAAAAATACAACAGCTGCCGAAACTTGTTCTTATCCCGAATATAATATACAATATCGTATCGTCAATAGCAAATTATTTTTAATTTTATCGGAACTGTGATACGCAATTTATACTGGTTGTGTGCGTTGACAAACGCACAGATAAGGATATTTACGCACGCGCACGCAAAAGTCAGTGATCGTCTTTGGTCACTAGTTTTCGAAGCACTGTTTAGGATGAACAAAAATGCTTTTACGGGAAAAACTCACACGCCACAGTTATCAGTCCGATTTTGATAAAAAAATTTTCTGAAAAATGAGAACATTTTGCAGGTCAGATCAAAGCCCGAATTTTCATTTTACTTTGAACAGTGCTAGAAAATTACATTTGAAAAAAAGCAAATATTATGCATTATTGGAATGCATATTTTAGATTCTTTAATTATAATTTTGAAAATTGCGTTTTGATCCGACCTGCAAAATGTTTTCTTCTTTTGAATAAAAAAAAAATTAACAAAATTCGATAATTCTATAGGGCGTGAGAGTTTTTCCTATACGACATGTTTTTGTGTATTAAAACTGCATTGGCTCCGACTCCCTTAACAAAAAAAGTTTAAAATGGGATGCAATTTACAGTGACCCAATGGTTCTATCAGTTATTCAATTAACTTCAAAAAATCATTCAATACATGGTAACGTTTAATTCAATGGTTAGCGCAAAGGGGTTTTAAATATTTTTTGAGATATTTTCGACAGTGTGAGTTTTTATGTATATTTTCTTTTTGGAAAATAAAAAAATCTCGAGCATTAGAAATAGTTCTCAAACAATTTATTATTCCCTGTAGTTTACAATATCATGAAACAATTAAGTTTGTGGGGAACAGTGCTCGTAAATTTGTAAGAAAATGAGTTTTACAGATTGTGGCTTGAACACTATTCAAGTAGGAACAAATCTTTATGTTTTTGAACTGGTTCGACGCAGGCCTGTACACAACCCCCCTTTGAGGATCATTTTACATATTTTTTTACTTAGAATATAGTCCTTATTCCAGGAGCGGATCCACAGTTGGAGAACTATAGGTCAGGCTATTTCAGGCCACTTATAAGGTCTGAAACTGAATTATAAGTATATACCTTGTTATAAAAAAAAAACATATTATGGCAATATAGGTAATATGTGTTTTCAAGTTTATTCATAGTTATCATTCAACAAGTTAACATTTATTATATTTTGTGGAGTCTTACATGAGGTTGATTAACTGTATTATACAATTAAACAAGTAACGTAATTTAGGGGAAGGGGTGGAAACTGGGGTATTCGGCCCAGTATGATATTAACTTCAGCCAATTCACTTAAAAAATATGAGAAGTCTTCAAGTGGCCAATTTTGTCGACAACTATTAACTGTGGGTTAGCTAACCTCCTGAACCCACCCCTAGATCCGCCCCTGCCTTATTCTATAAAATGTATAACTTGAAAATACATACATAGTTTTCTATATTTGTTTAAACAGTGCAAATTTTGTTGATTCGATGCACTTTTCTTTTGAATTTTCGCGTCTTTCCTGTCAACTATCGATCATTGTTATAAATCGATAGGAACCTAGATCGCATTTTCTGATCAGCTATTTAAGCTGTTCAGACATTAGTTGAAATTTATTGATTTTCGATCATGATATTTTTAATCACGGATATTACTAAGTATATTTATTTATTGACTTTATTAACTTCATAAACTAATATAACATATATAATTTTGGACCCCTTCCCTCCCCATCATTTGACAATTGTTGCGCGCGGGACGGGTCTAACGTCCTATTTTTCCCACGTTAATCGGCACTTTGGTGAAATTAATCACCGAGTCGGCAATTTAATAAGTCCATGCCGACATCCTTACTCTAGAAAAAACCTGAAATAACGCCACTGCAAATTCTAGGTAAGGCGTAATATTGTTATAACTATATTAATGCGATAAACATTTGAAATGGACAATCTGAATGGGATCTTGTTTCTGCCGTGTATACTATCGTTATGTTAAGCAAGACTTTGGAACGTCTATAATATTGAAGTTAAATGCGAGCAAAAAATGTTTTACTTTATGAAATGCTAACATAAATACTTAGTAAATGTTTCAAATTGCAGTAGTTAACAGGTTGATTGCCACGTTAATTTTTACATACATGCCAAACATTTTTATGTGACACATATATGGGTCAGACTTGATTTTCAATTTTGTTTCCATGACACATATGTGTGTCGCATAATATATTTCTTATTTTTATCGTGGCACAATGGCACAACGGTGGGTCACGTTTTTAGGGTTTATGTATCCAATTCTTTATCAACAACATTTTAAAAATAGATGTTTATTGATAGCGCATGGAAATAATTATTTATTTTTTAAATTATACATATATACGTATTTTAGAGGATAATAGCTAAACAACAATATGTGTATACAAGAACTTTTGACTTTTTCCTTAAAGTATTCCATAACCTATTCTTCGATGGATGAATTAATTTATTCATCTTGAAGAATGTCAGTATAAGATGTTACGTGCCAACCGTTTGATCCGTTAATTCAGTTCAACGTTTCAATCAACGCTTGATTGGAAGTGTAGTCAGGAATAATTAAGACTTTTTTAAAATAATTAAATTTATTTAACTCGTAAAATTATCCTAACTACAATTTTGTAAATATTCTTGGTAGAAATAATCTAAGTCCTAACAATTGTAACTTATAAAAATGATTGAAATATTTCTAAGTCCAGACCATAACATACACTGACGTGAAGGTGCTCAGTGCAGCATAGCCAAAACTCGTCTGATTTGCCCTTGTTTTCGGGTCCCTTTTATATGTGATATCTGTATGTGTGTGTGTAAATGAAAACTGATAGCAAAATAATTAAAATAAGATAATTTCCTGTTAATTATGAATGAGTGTGCGTTATCTCCGGACCGTGACATAATTATTGACACAAATGCCCAGGATGTGGTTTTTGATTAACTATTTATTTTAATTTCCCATAAGAACGTTTATGTGAACCCTTTCATTTGTCCACACTTGTGATTTCTAGTTTCTTATTATAATCTCTAGTGTAATAACCACATGAGTTCAATAATCTCATCCCCGGTTATTGTCTTATTGTGTGAATACACAGGACGCAACTCTCTCCGTGTTGTGTTTTATTGTGTGACTATGCAGGACGCGACAAATAACAGAACATTTAATAACTAAATATTTTGATGTCAGTGTTTTGCATATACACTGATATACTAACAAATTAAAAAGAATCCAAGGGGTTGTTTCTAACCTCATACTTATCATAACCTATTATCATCTCATCCAATAAATACTGTTGAGAATAGTAGGTAGGTGTAAATAAACTATGAGTTAAATATTTTATGTACATTTATCAAATTTAATTTTTTTTTACAAAATCAAAAATGTTTTCAATTCTATGAAAATAATTTTTTATTTTAAATTCTGCACACTATTCTGTAAATGTAGAATAACAATGAACCAGTTGTATGATAAAAACTAAAAGTTAAATTAATGTCTCAACAAATACAAGGTTATCAATATTTTAATTTATTTAATAATCATACAAGTTATAATAATCAATAATCATTTTAATTTACAAAATGAAATGATCACCACAATTATGTGGTGCTTAGTTCAAAATATTTTTAAAAACGCAATTTAAATATTTTATAAATTAAATATTACTATAAAATTGAATTGTGATAATTATTAGCTGAAGGGGATTATAAAAAAAAATAAAAATATAGTTATCAAGGTTTCATCAGTATTTAAAACTTGATTGCATTATTTTTACAATTTACAATACAATTAAAAAAGAAAAGATTATTGTAAAATATTTAATATGAATACATAAATTATAAAATACATAAAGTTGCAAATAAAAATGTATACTTTTTTTTAAATAAATAAATTCAAAAGGAATGTTAATAAAATAATTTTTATTGTATTTTTACATAGCCAACTAAGAAGGTATTTGACAATTAATATAAATTCTATAACAAATTAATTTTATTAAGTATTTTTTCTGTCTTAAAAAAAAAAAAAAATTGCTACCAATATTAATAATTTAATTCATAATAATTAATCATCTTTTTCACTTTCAGAATCATATTCTTCATTTTCATTTTCATTTTCATTTTCAGAATCATAAAGAAAATCTAACGTAGACCAAAATGAGTTATCATCTAACTCTGGTGATTGGCAATGTTGATTAGCTAAACATATAATACATTAAATAAATAAAAATATATTAGTATGTATCAAAATATTATTAAAACTGTTTCCTTTTTTTTAATTTAACCATACTTACAATCTTCAATCTTATTATCATCAAGAGTATGATTATATGGAGAACTTGATGAGATGTTTAAACTTAGATCATAAGTTAAACGTTTTTCATTATCACATAATGTATCAACAGCAATAGAAATAACTGGTTAAAAAAATATATAAATATAATTTACACTTATTTATTTACTATACAATATTGTAATTTTATTCTTACCCTCAAATGCTTCTCCTGCTCCAGGAGCTTGATTTTTTTCTGGATCTAATAACAAGGCTAAGTTATCATAAGCTTCTTTTATTTCAGAAACAGTTGCAGTATGATTTAGATCAAACATTGAATAGTAATTTTCACTATTGGCCACTCTAAAAAGACAACGAATCATAATACAATATGTATTATTTGAAATTGTATTAACACTAAAATTGCAAAACATATGGAAATAGCAAAAGTTTTATTAATATAAAATGTATGAAATAAAACATTTCAGAGGTATAGTTAAAATCAGTTGTAAATTATTAAAATACTATTGTTTTAGTAAGCAAATGAAATTAAAATAGTGGTAGTTTTTTGGACAAAATCATTTTTGGCCAGTGCACTATTTTGGTAGTTAATTTAAATTTTTAAAATATAAAACAATTTAAATTTTTTAATAATAGATACTAAATATTATATTTGGTAATTGAACAGATACCCAGTATAAAAGTTTATAATAAGAATATAATTATTTTGTAAGAAATCCAACATCTTTAAACTGACATTTGATATAAACATAATTTTATTTATTTTATTTGAAAATAACAATGAAAAAGATTAACAAGTTACAAATATTCACATAAAAATGAGTTATTGTAAAAGTAGTATTATTGTAGCAAATTTAATATTTTACACTTATGATAATTTATATAAAGTATGTATGATTTTTTAAAAAGAAATAAATTTTTCTATACTTTTAAGTTAAAATAACTAAAATATTACACTGGCAGAAAACTGACACAATAAACTTACTCAAAAGTGATTATATTCATTTTAAACAAAAATAATCCTTATCCATCTTTTTAAAAACACAAATTCATTCAATAGATTTTGAATATGAGCACTTAGATTAAAATTTATATATTTGAATCAATTATAACTAGTATTAATAATATTAAACCTTATATCTTACATTTTAGAAATTCTAAAAATGTTGAGTACTATGGGGGTATGTTGATATTCAAAAATAAAATCTTGTGTGTTGAATATAGACATTTTAAAAGGTGGAAAAAATGTGGAACATAGAAATTGTAAAAAGCAATTTTGTAAATTTTTGAATGTGTGGCCTAAGAATTTTAATATTAATTTTTAAAAATTAAAAATAAATTTAAATTTTTACAAATAAAATAACCTCTCTTTAAATTTTTATAAACCAAATAATAAATCAAACAATCTATTAAAAGCTATATAAAGGCAATAAGTTACTTTTCGACAATATTTGCTTGTTCTTCTGTATATTTTTGCTTGTTATTCTCTCTTATTTCTCCAAGCAGTTGAAAAAAATCTAAAAAATTATAACATTTTATAAATTATTTAATAATTGTATTAAAATGTGTTTATATAGATATTATATCAAATGTTTAATAGAAATAGAAATTTAGAATTATCCTATTATGTTCTGTTATTATATTTTTTCATTGATAGGTTTTTTATTTTTTTTTATCGTTTTACATAAAATCTTTTATGATTAAGACCTTCATAAACTAATGACCAAAAGAAGAAGTATTGTCGAAATTTACAAATACAAACAAAAACTGCATTTGTGAATAATTATTAATTATAATTTTGATCAAATTTAAATAATATCAATATTTAAAATTATATAGGTACTTGATTTTCATCAGTAGTAATTACCATCAATTGCAGATGTTGGATGAAGCTTTTGTGATTTAAGGACAAATTGTTCAGCTAAGTCAATCTGATTCATTGCAATACATTGTTCTGCATTTCGAAGATATTTAAGGGCTTCTTGTTTATTCGTTTGTTCAGACAATCGGATCAAACGAAGATCAGCTGAAAACAAAAATAACGACATTATTTTGTAATACTAAAAACTGAAACAACAAATACTGACAATACATTTATTTAAGTATTTTTGACGATATTGATGTAATATGGGTCTATTATTTAAAAATATTTGAAAACAACTATTATTACGATAGAAAAATAAACTTAATTATGAATTTATAGAGAACCAAAGTATATTAAATCAAAAATTTCAATAAATTCAGAAGGAAAATCTTTTTTATATTTCATATATAATTAACAATTAAATTAATATCCCAACATACTAGATATAGATAACTAAATATGGATAATTAAACAAAGGTTTAATTTATGTATTCTACAAAAACTTTTATGATTTTAATTAATAATATTATACTAAGAACCAAAAAAATACATCAATGTTAATACATATAACTTTTGGATTAATTTTTCTACATTAGAAGTAATAAAATGCATTATATTTAGAAATAAAAACAAATTGTTTTTAATACATAATTTTAATTAATTAACAGAAACGTTCAAAAATAAATGTAAACAAGTAAAAATTATAAAGTTCATAAAAATGTTTTTAGTTTAAAACTTATTTATAAATAATACAATTTTAAATTGGTTAACATACTTGTATCATTGATTTTTTTTGGTTGTTCTGGTGACTGTGGATCATAGTTAGAATCATAATTAGTAGATGTATCAGAATTTTCACTTTCAGAAGAAGATTCTGAAGAACTGTCCACTATAATTTAAAATTTGATTAGACAATGTGTAATTGAAATGAACTATTTATTCATCTACAAACCAGTAATAATTTCATTGCTTATTGATTGATTACTGTACAAATGTTTACTATTTGATTGTTCCACTCTAGACTTCAATGTTCTCATAAATACTATAAACACATTTTAATTATTTCTTCAATTTATATTACTTATATACTTGAAAAAGTAAAGAAACAATACATTCAAACTAAATTTGGATCTTAAAAATAATCTGATCTCCATCTTAATGTATAACTGTAAATATTTTATACTAAATATTTCCAAATTAAAATCAAATCTTTATATTTAACCATATTTCATGATTTATCAATTATGCCTTTCAAATATTATTTGAGGAAATCAGAAGTAACATTAAGAATAGATTAAAATTATTATTATAATATAATAATTATATAATTAAAAAAAGTAATTTTTTTTTTTTTTTTAATTGTATGGTATGTGGACTTTTATACTTTATATTTCTATATAATTTAAAGTATATTTTTAATAATAAGTATTAATCATGAAATGATGAACTATTTGAAGTATATTTTTATATTATAATACTATTTAAAATAATATTTATATATTTACATAAGTTTAAGATTTATATATAATATTTGGTTATAAGCATTAAAAATGTGTTAAATTAGTGCATTATATTATGATCATGTCGCCTATGTATAATGTTATTTTATTATAAAAAAAAAGAAATATTTAGAGTAAAATAATTTTAGTATATGGTTGTTAATCATTTCAGCTTGACAATAATAACATTGATTTTTAATATGGCATCCTTAAGTCTCAGTTAAGTGTTTCAGAATAGTTAAATATCACAGAATGAAACTTCAATAAGCTATATATTAATGTTTTGTATTTATTAAACACTTGGTTGTTGTATTTATTAAACACTTGGTTGAACACTAAAAGCTTCATTGATAATTAGAATAAGCTTTATGAGACAATACTTGTCAATATAACATAGCACCAAAAAGTACCAAGTATATAACAAATCATTGAGTTTTCAGCGGAAGGAGAACTCTTGTTTTGTGTTTTTTTATTTATAATTTAAAATGTTACTATATGTATTAAAAATAATGTTAGTTTTATAAATTTATACTTAGTTGCCAAGTGTGTAAGTCATAAAATTTTAAGGAATATACGGGGAGGAGTGGTATGATTACTTTTCATAAAAACTATAAAAAAATGTACCGAATCTCCAATAACAAAACATAGTAAAATCATCATCAGAAATAATAAATAAATTAAAACGCTTTTTTTAACATTAGTTATACTACTGTTTAAATAATGATAAATATTATTGGAAAAAATGTTGTAGTATGTTTACAAATGAAAAATTAATTAATTTCAAATATGACATTTAAAATATAAAAATTTGACAAAGATTAACAAAACTGTAATTATTTAACTCATATGAATAATTTTTTCTATTACAAAACATTTTAACGTAATGAGAGTTGACCATAAGTCGAACATTTACTTTATTTAGTGTTCATTATGTCAAGAAATTAGAAAGAATAATACCTTTTGGGTTGCTACCTAAACTATTATTATCAATATCAACTATTAAAAACAGGAAAAATAATATGGAATAAGAACTCATTACGAAGTTGTCGATTCTAAGATATTAATTTTAATGGTAATACTCAAATAGTATATACAAATAATATTAGATGTTATAACTCACGTTTCGAAGCAGGTGTTGGAAATAATTTATAAGCTCTAATTGAAAGTCTCAGGGCACTATGTAATTTTTTTTTTTTTATATATCCTTTTGCAATTTCAATGCAGCCATAAGCCTCTGCGCGGTTTCTCATACCTTCCATTGTCTTTTGTAATCAAAAAAAAAAAAATGTAATGTCATTAGTATTATAAAATAATAACTAAATTAACGTAAACTTAATGGCACAAAAATGTTATAAATTCATATAATCAGTATTACATTACAAGCTGAATAAGTATATTATTTGTTATGACTATACATACCAAAACCTTAACTGTCGTAATAGAATATCAATAAAAGTTATAATTCAATAATGAAAAAGAAAAATGTAAGTTGTGAGTACTAAAGCAAAAAAAAAAAAAAGAAGAAAGGGAAAATAATCATCAACATTTAAAATACGTCGAAAGACGTCTGAGACGATTCTTGGCGACGGCAGTTACGACCTCAAAATTGATAACAACTTTTTGGCGCCATCGTTTATCTTATCAAAATTAATTATTTTATTAATAATAAAAACAATGATCTTATAAAATAATGTCGGGTAGCTGTCGACCGCCTCCTAAATGCCAATATTATATATTAAATATAAGACTATGTCCACTTGTTGCATTAAAATATTTAAGTGCCGTGGATTATACTTATTTGAGGTTATATAATTGTTGAGGCTGGACTCTGCATCGGACCATGTGTCGGTGATAGTCGTGCACGGTAACAACCACGGTCTTAGAAAATATCTTTTAAGACCGTGGTAACAAGCATTACCGATAGTTCAAGGCCGTTTTCACACGCATTTATATTATCAGTGTTGGTGTCGATATCGTTATCGGAAACGGCCCAATTTGTGTTCAGGTTTTATTGGTATTTAGAGAAAGATTATGAAAACAAAATCTGTTCAACAATAAAATAAAACCATGTTATAAGCAGTAAACAGAAAATTATTTTTATCGCTTCGACATTTCAGACCTAATTACTTACACTGGAAACGTATATCGTCAGACACGTATGTTGGACGACGTCATACGACATACGTAATCGAGGGAACTACCTACAATACGATACCGAATTCGTCCGCCATCGGACAAATGCGCTCATATTTCTCCGCTTTTTCAGAGACCGATAACTTTTCGTTTTGTCATTAAATGTCGTTAGTTAATCTTTGTGAAATTTTGTGTATATTACAAAATATGAATAATTCCAAGGACGACTTTATTGTTTCTAACAGAAACAGTTTAGCGATTAAAAAAAAAGAAAATTTGGATGCATGAATTTAATAAAAATAGAAACGACGGCCAATATTTTAGGACCCGTCTGCCCCTCCGAGATTACCCAGATAAATTGTATGGTTACTATAGAATGAATGTTGATACGTTCAATTATATATTGGAATCAATTCGAGAGGATATTACCAAATAGAAGAACTTTTCGTGAATTGTATTCCATGCAGGGTCTTTCTATCTCTGTTGTGGTAATTCTTTGTCTGTTGGTCACACAAATCTGGATTTTCCCTCACCAGTTCAATCAAAAAGGCTTTATCCATTTTATATAAAAATGACAATGTTTGAGTATAAATTTAAGGTTTTAATAAAGTTTAAAATTTAGATACGCAAGTATCGAACGAAATACAAAATGATTTGATTTTCAACCGACGGTCTGAACCCAGTGCCGTGTTAAGTTGTAATCAGTGCTCGACTTGGAAAAATTAAAGAAGGGGGACTCTATTTACTTTAAAAAAAAGAACGTCCCCAAAACTGGCTGAGTGTTATGACTATAGCGTAATAATAGTAAGGGGACGCTAAAATTTCTGAAAATTAGTTAGGGTACTCCATCACCTCGCGTCCTCCCTCAAGTCAAGCACTGGTTGTAATGCCACCGGGGACACATATTTTGTCGCCTCATCATAGATATGAATGTATGATATTAAGGAGAACTATAAACTATAATAGTTAATAGGGTTGATCCATATTATTATTTATATTTAGTATTTATTACAACTATATGTCTGTACAGGCGTAGTACAGCCGTCGAGTCTCGACTGTGTTAACACATTAATGCGTGTTAATATTGTAATCATTCGAATAAGATATACATGTATATGTATCTTATTCAACTTTTCCATCAATTATTACATTGTATAATATATTTAATAAAAATTGATTTATTATAAAAAATCAAAAAAATGTTTTAAAAATTAATAAATGAGTGCCGCCGCGGGAAAATGCCCTCTTTACCACTCACACCACGGTCTGAATCTATTGGACGACAACCGTGCTGCCGTTTTGTCGCACTGTAGGTGATTCCATTTGCGCAAGTATATTTGTTTCAATTCAGACGTCGTCAGACATACGTGTCTTACGGGGCATTGTAAACTCCGCCAGTTTTTATTTTTTTTTTACCTGTAATGGGTATATATAAACCCCGCAATTTTTTTGTGTTTTGCCAGTGAATCCTTTCAGTCATCTAAGAAATTAATTTTATAAAAGTTAATCGAATGTTCATATTTTTAGTAAAGTTTTTACCGAATTTCAAACCCATATTTATATAATACTAAGTGGCTTATCTCAAGTAAATAAGCTAAAAATTCAAAAAAAAAAAAAATGACAGTGTTACAGAATAATATGACCTATTTTGAGTAATACAAGACTAAAAATATTAGAAGACTTAGAATATTTACAAATAATATCAATTCATTTTAGTTTACATATATGACATAATTATATATTTTTGGATTATTAGTTATAACGATTAGTTATTATGATTTAAATATTTAATGTGAACGATATTATATTATATTATATTATACATTTAGTTATTCGTGTAGCAGATGATCTACCGAAGGGTGGGTAATCTGCGAATTTAGGACGAGTGATCTACGTTTTAATAGTATAAAAACACATTATATTTTTTACAATGAGTACGTCATATCATAAAAATATTCGTCAAATATAAAAATAAAAAATAATTAGCCAAATATAATTATAATTTCAATTACAGTAAATATTTTATAAAATTTAGACGCACGCATTATAGACGAACTCCGACCAACGAATAATTCGAATCTAACCTATCCAGCAACATTGCTAATGACTATTGTAAATGTCATTCATTGTTATTGCAATACTGTCCCACTGTGGTCTACGATAATGTGCGTATAAAATGCGTAAGTATAATATAATAATAGGTAATAATAATTGTAGATCATGAACTACATCTTGTATAATACGGTAGATTACCTGATATCAGTGGCGTAGCGAAGTGAAATATTTTATCGGGCAATTCATTTTTGATTGAACTACCACCCACCCAGTGGCGTATCCAGGGGTGGCCCCCCTCATTGGCCACATTTGCTATTTTTGACAGTATTTTATACATTTTTTATTATTATTTGCCATTTTTCTAAATTTTAAACAGTGCCCTCCCCCTAGAAAAAATGCTGTATATATAACTGCTGATCCACCCTTTTACTCAGTTCTTACTCGTTGGCCATTTCGGATATACCCATGTGGCATGTACCAAATGCATAACAAAAGCAAAAATGTATCTATTTATTTAAAATACTGTAATTGAATTATTAATTACTATAAAAATTTACACCTAGTAATTATATTAAAGCCGTGTTACAATATCTGGAAAATAAAAAAAAATACATATGCTTATCATAAACAACTTTTTTAACTGTATGCGTTTATTAGTTTTTAACTTTAATAAGTATACAACAACATAATATTTAGAATAAAAAATATATACATGAATAATATTTTGAATAAATTTGCTTATTTTTATTATTACTTATAACAAATATTACTTAAAGATCAAAGCTTTTTTTAACACAGATGAAGTGTTTGTTAATGTATCGATTGCTTCTTCAATATTAATATTGTTAGAAAGATCTTTTTCACAAGATAGAAGCAGTAAACTTTCTAATCTACCTTGACCGATAGTTGAACGCAAACGGGTCTTAACAAGTTTAACTTTTGAAAAGGAGCGTTCACTTGAAACTGAAGTAGCTGGTACTGTGCACAATGATATCTAAGCCATATATAAGTTAGGAAATTATGAGGCCAACTTTAATGAATTCAAATGTTCAAATATTTGAGAAGAAGATGCCATATTATTAAAATTATTATGCGATATGTCTTCGCCATCCATTTCGCTATTTATTGGGTGATCGGGATCATCTTCATCGTTTGTGTTCTCACTAATCAAAATATTTTCATCATGTAAGTTTTTTGGACATATACCTGATTGTAATTTTTTAAAACTCATAGCAAAATTTCTATATTCCATTGCAATTGAATCTTTATCTATTTCAGGAATCCAGGTTTTAAGGGAGTCAAAGGTATCAATAGGCACAATATCTCCATTGCTTAATTTTAACAATCTCTCGTATGATAAAAATGTTAAATCTTTCAGAATTTTTATAGCATCATTGAACCGTATCGTTAAAGAAGCCTTAATTTTGGTCAACACATAATAAATAAACATTTGTTCTAAAGTAATCCACTGAGCTATTTGTAATTTCATCAGAAGTATTCTCATCATCCATTCTCTTCCTTTTCCTTTGCCTAATTTCAAGAAATTCTACTTCATGAAGTTCATTTTTAATTGAAAACTCTTTAGATTCTTGTAAAATAGTATCAACTGATTCTTGAGTTCTCAATTCTGATAATATTTGGTCTGCAATATCAACCATTGTTAATGCTTAAATGTAATAATTTGACGGAATTTGTAAATATGTCGATAATGGAGTAGTAATATCAAAAATATTGTTCATTAAAAACTAAACAGTAATAAAACTAAAAAAAGTGACATTCCTAAGTAAATTACTAGCTGTTGAACTACACAATCGATCAATTGATTCTGACAAATCTTTGATAGTTGCAACAATAGCCTTGAAATTCTCAAAAATTACAAACAGTGACCGATGATGTGAAGTCCAGCGGGTGGTAAAAAAAGTTTTCATTCATAAAGGTCTCTTATCAGGGTACAACTTTTTTTGATGCTCCAAAAAAAGGGCAGTACGCTTACGAACTCTCATAAGTTCTTTTAAAGATTGAACAGTTCCAAAAAAATTCCGTGTTTCTCTACAACTATCATACGTATCAACAACGATTAAATTCAATGCGTGAGAAAAAACACCATACATAAATCGCTCTTGGATTATGTTGTTGTACTAATGTGCGAAGACCAGAATATTACCTCTGCATAGATGCTGCACCGTCATATGATTGAGCAATTAGATCTGATTTCCCATTTAATCCATACTTGGCACAAATATTACAAAATAAATTAAACATACCACGACCAGACGAACCATCAACTACTTCCAGAGCTATTAGTTTTTCTTTAATTTGACCACTTTCATCAATAAAACGTAAAATCATGGAGAACTGTTCTAAACCAGCAACATCAATGGTTGTATCAATGATCACGG